ATTATTGAGTTCATTTCGAATAGATTAACAAGACGATTATAATGGTATAATTTGTTAAAATAAAATGTAAAAATTAACAAGTCTTTTATAAAATGAGTATGTAATATGAACAAGATCAATAAAGGGTATGAAAATGTTTCCAGAAAGGTTAATTTAGTTGTTAGATCTAATTTTAGTTAATATAAAATTATATAAAATTATATATTTTAATATGATAATGGTGTAAAAATAAATGATGTATCATAAATTAAATAAAAAACTATAAAAATATAAATCGTAAATATCAAAAATATTTTTTTTATAATATATATAATATATAGTAAAATAATTAAGTCAAAAACTATTCAATATTGGACTTATTTCGAAGGTATTAACGAGACGATTATAATGATGTAATTTGTTAAAATAAAAATGTATTTTTTAAACATGTTTTAATTGATATACGATTATGTATATTAATTTAATAAATGTATAAAATGAAAAATTTGAAAGTAAAAGACGTAAAGTAAATTAATTAAATAAGTATAGGGGTATAAAATGTAAATTTTAAATTATAACTTTAAAAAAGGGTTTTTCTAACCCACCCCGGGGTAAGATTGTGTAGGGGGATGAATATGTGAGGATGAGAGTGAGGAAAAATTGTGAGGGTCAGAACGAGAGTTGGTGTGATGAGAAGGGGGTGAAAAGTGATTAGGGGGTGGGGAGTGAGTTTGTGAGAAGAGGGGTTATTAAAAGTGACGTAAGGGGTGCCAATATCAACCCCCAAAAAGGGTTACCAAGTCAACTTTCTGAAGTATAAAAGTCAGTATCATCTCTTTCAAATTCAGCCACCAATTAACTTGATCTTATCGAGCTTCACCAACCTCTAATGGCGTCTCCAACCGTTGAAATAGTCTCCCATTGTTTCGTCAAACCAAAATTCCCATCCAACAAACCCATTTACTTCTCTCCATGGGATTTAGTTATGGTTAATGTGAATTACATCCAAAAGGGTCTACTTTTCCGGTTAACGGAAAATCAAGATTTCTCCATCGTCACCTTCCTTGAAGACCTCAAAGACTCTCTCTCCGCCACGCTTACTCATTTTCATCCACTCGCCGCCCGTTTAGCCACCGTTAAACAACAAAACCCACCTTCTTTGGTCGTCTTCTTGAATCCTGAAAATAGCCCTGGAGCAAGATTCATTCATTCAACTGTCGATTTGACGGTGTCCGATGTTCTTGGACCCACTGATGTGCCGTTGATTGTTCAGTCGTTTTTCGACCACCACGAAGCTATCGATCACGATGGTCATGAACTGTCTTTGCTGTCGATTCAGGTGACGGAACTCGTCGACGGAATATTCATCGGTTGCTCCATCAACCATATGGTAGTCGACGGAACCTCCTACTGGCATTTCTTCAACTCCTGGTCGGAAGTTTTCCAATCAAAAACTCAAAATGGAAACATAGCTCCCATCTCACGTCCTCCGGTTCTCGAACGATGGATCCCGACAGGATCCGACCCGGTTCTCAGCCTCCCGTTCACCCATAACGATGAATTCCTCGACAGACCCAATCGTCCGTTTTTAAGAGAAAGAATCTTCCATTTCTCGTCGGAGTCTCTCTCTAAGTTCAAAGCAAAAGTCAATTCAGAATGTAATACAACCAAGATTTCCACTTTACAGTGCCTCTCGGCCCTTATGTGGAGGTGCGTGACCCGTGCCCGGCGAGCACCGGAAAATAAAGAAACCGGTTGCAGATTGGCCGTGAACAACCGTAGCAGACTCTCCCCACCGTTACCCGACAATTATTTCGGTAATTCGATTCAGACGGTGAGAGTAGTAACAACGGCAGGGGTGCTGCTGGATCAGAGTCTCGGGTGGGCGGCGTGGATGTTGCACGAGCTGGTGATGAACCATGGTGATAAAGCGATTAAGGAATTCGTGGGTTCGTGGGTAAAGCGTCCGTTTGTGTATAAAATGAGTCAACTTTTTGATGGGGATAGTATACAAATGGGGAGCTCGCCGAGATTTGATATATACGGGAATGAATTCGGGTTGGGGAAAGGAGTGGCGGTTCTGAGTGGGTATGCTAATAAGTTTGACGGGAAGGTGACGCTGTACCCGGGACGGGACGGCGGAGGAAGCGTAGACTTGGAAGTCTGCTTGTTGCCGGAAAACATGGCGGCTTTTGAATCTGATAAAGAATTCATGAGTGTTGTTAACGGAGAAGAAGCCATGTAAGAAAAAGTTTTGGTGAATTTTATGGCTTCTTTATTGTCATCAATAATAAAAAGGCGTTGTATTAGAGATTTTTAATTTTAAGAATCTCACGGTTTTCTTTGTTTTTATATAAAAATCTTAATTCTTTTTTTATTAACATGGATATCCAACCCGTTATACGAGTCGACTAATCTTAGGACGACCACCTGCTTTGCAGATAGCCTGAAGTCACCGCATTTGAACCTCTGTGGCCATAAAGGGATTTTTATTCCTCTTTAGATTTGAACCTGGAACGTCCTGGTACTTTTGACCTTTGGAGTCAAGCTCAAACCAATCAGGCATCACTCCTTAGTTTATATTTTAGAATCGAACAAGATAGGAGTTTTACTTGTAATAGTTTTATACCTATTTGTATTGGTCCAAGAACGAAATGTCTTCAACAAAATCGAAGTCTAGTTGAAGTGAAGTCAAGATCTCGTCAAAGCAGATTGGTTTGTCATCTAGCCAAAAAAAATCAATACAAGATAAAGTCAAATAGTAACCTGACAAATACTACTATTGGCAAGCCAGATTTTGGAGTGCAAACTTGTCCACCAAGTTTGGATAACCAACTCTCTGACGCTCCTCCTAGTATGAGAACATGCACAACATGTCTTCCAAATCAAGTTCTAAACACGATTTTATTAGTTTCATACTTCTTTCACTGTTCCCTCAGCATACAGAAGGATAAGATAGGTTAACAAGTATCTACATCAATCACAAAGGCTGAAATGAAGAGTACAAGCATGCATGGATCAACAAATCAAATGAAGACATACTTAAAGTTAGACGGTAGCATTTTATGCAATGGTGGCTATAAAAGGTCACCCTTGTAATTAAATGTTACTTAACCATTTTGAAATAACTTCTAAGTGATAGTTTCTTAGGTAAAATCTACATCAACATCTGAAGAACTATCTTAGTCCTTCCGATCTGAAAGAGTCTTTATTCCTTCACTCTTTGTCACGAGCCATATTGTTTAGGATCACGGGTCTTACCTTCTTAGTTTTCGCAATAAATCTGTAACTCTTTGTTTTAATATAAAGTATAGAATTAGAAAGTAAAAATCTGTTGTGTTTGTATACCCCATTCTACAAACACATCCTATGTAAATTATTACTTCCCAAGACCAACAATGGTTTTAAAATGCCTGCAATGCAACCGAGCAGACTCTTTTCACTAGGAGAAACAAAAAAGGTAAGTTGCTGATTGTGAGCATCTATGTGGATGATCTAATCTATACATGAGATAATGAAGATGTCTTAATGAAGTTTATTGCCTCAATGACGAAGGGATTGGAAATGACTGATTTGGGAATGATGAAATGCTTTCTTGGTATAGAAATTTCGCAAGATCTAGAAGGCATCTTTGTGCGTCAAAAGGCGTATGCCCAAGACATCCTGAATCGCTTTGGGATGGAAGAATGCAACCTGGTGAACAATTCCATTGGTTCTAGTCAAAAGCTTAGCAAGGACTAAAATTACGTAAGAATAAATGAGTCATATTTCAAGAAGATCGTAGGTAGCTAAATGGATCTCACCACCACTCGTCCATATTTAATTGTAAACTATTTGAATTTACATTGCCATAAAGCTGAGTAAGGAGCTTGAAAATGGTTAAAAACCGAAGCTTAAATTTTAACAGATTTTTGAATATGGATCTGACATTTTCGATCAACCTTACACTACATTCATGGCAGCAAACATAAGTGCAGTGGTTCGAAGCAGAATTAGTCCAATAAAGTGATCAACAGCCTCAATCAGGCCGTTTGAGAAAACATGTTTGCTTCAATAGTTCCAAATTGAGTACAGTGTTACCCACAAGATCGCCTTCTTGCGCCATGAGCTTGAAATGGCAACGAAATCCGAACTATCACGCAGCCAATTTGAACACATCCACCCACAACGAAAAGTTGAAAGGACCCTTCAAAAGGCATTACTCGATGGTTTCCACGACATTCTTGCATCAGGGACAAAGGATAGTGTGGAGATCAATCCTCCTCTTTGAACGTTTTTATATTTTCTTTGAACACTTGAGATTTGTTTGGACGGTTTCTTCATCAACATTCCTGATCAACTTAGCAATTCAACTTATATGTTTTTGTGCTCGTTATTGTAAAACTACATATACTTTTAGGATTGCAACTTGTCAAGTTGCAATCTGTATTTGTCAAGCTTTTTTGTTCATTCTTTTACGTTGTTTTTTCTACAAAAAGAAAAGAGTGAGAAAAAGAGGAAAACTCGTTGTTTTTGAAATTCTTAGAAAGAAAACGAAACGCAAGAAGGAATTGAAGTCGAGTTTTTCGGTGTTCAATTTCCCACTATTTTTTATGTTTTTTTAAGGGGAGTGCTAATGGCACCCCCTTTGATGTCAGAATTAGGTCATTCAAGCATTGGGAATGTAAAAAACATGTATTAATGTTGATGTGTGTGAGGAAAAAATTCATAGATAAGGGTGCATTAAGCAATGCATGAGGGTGCATTTAGCCCACCCTTTTTTTTAAAAGTTGAGTTGAAAACGAAAACAATGCGAGGGTAGGTAAACGCATTACTTGATTGTACGGTGGCAACAAGTGTATTGGGAAAGTTTGATTGTACTTTGTGTTATTGTTGACTAATGCATAGTCAACGGTCAAAGTTCACAATATCATTTTTATACTAATATTCCATATTAATGTTAAAAAAAGAATTATATAATTTTAAAGATAATTATATACTTGGCGGCGGAAGGTGGTCGGTATCGTGAAACAGTGGTGGATGACGGTGGATCGGTGAATGGTGGTCGTCGGTGATCAGTGATCGATGGATAACCGTGAATGTCGGTGATTGGTGATCGATGGATAATCGTGGATGTCGGTGAAGGCTCGGTTTTTTAGAGGTGGGAGAGGATGTCGGTGGGAATGGTGATTATGGTCCCCTTGACCGTCTATTTATATAAACCGTTACGTAATAAGACAAAATAATCGTCAAATCGGCATCAAATCATAGACACTAAAAAACGAAATAGCGGTCAAATTACGTAAATCAAATATAATATCTTACTTTTGTCCCTCAAATAAGATAAAAATAATTTTTTCGTGACCACAATTATCATGGTTTTATTTTATAAACTAAAATCATGACATTTTGTCCTACAAATATAAAAAAAACAATTTAAATATCGTCTCTTTTTTATTAAAAACACCCCTTAATAGATAGTAAATAAAAAATAAAAAAATGGATCGCCACCAGGGTGATCCACGAAAATCAAGGCGCATAATATTTATACCCGGGGATGCATGTGGGTTGCATCAAATTGGTTTTTTAATATATTTTTCATATTTTTTTGGTCAAATAAAGGGGGATCGCCCTCATGGTCAACACTCACCCCCTAGAGGCGATCCATGTGGACATTTTGACAATTTTAATAAAATGTGATTAATTCGTTAATATGTCAGATATATTTTGATGGCGTTGGTGATTTTCCCTCATTATTATTATATATGTACATAAAAGTTATAGGAGAAGTAGGTAATTGAGTTGGTCATCATGGACTTATTTAATACGAATGCTTGAGTGGCAAGTATGACCCTTGACTTGATCTGTCTTTTTTATTTTTAAATTTTGTTTTCTATTTTCTTATGGTTTTAATTTAATTTAGATTAAATTACAAATTACATCCGTCCATATGATTATAAAATTTTTTGGGTTGAATTTTCAAAACAAAATAATTACATGTACGATCGATTATAATTTCACTTTTAATATGAATTAGGTCCTTTGTTATAATGCAATTAACCTTAACTTTGTTAGATTGAGGATAATTTGGTCCTTTAGTTTTTTTCTTTTAAAGAATAAAAAAGATATATAATTTCTATATATGTAATATATATATATATATGTATATATATATATATGTGTGTGTGTGTGTGTGTTGTAAATGATACGAGACAACTTGTAAGCTACTTGAAATCGACTCGGTCATCACTCGACTTGAATAGACTTGCCTCAAACGCGAGCTCGACTCGACATATTAACGAGTAGAGTCAAGCTAACCCAATACTCAACTCGAAAAGCTCGTGAGATGCTCAATTATTTTATATGTAATTACTTTCAAAATATAATCAGTTTGTATGATAAAATTTGTAAAATATAAATAATAAAAATGTCTTATATTTTTAAATATTTAAACAAAATTATGCATTTTTTAATTTAAAAAATTAATCAATTATTTTTTTTATTAAAATCACAATTAAAAAAGACAAAAAAAAACTATAAAAATGGTTAGTGAAATTGTCCTACATTAAAAGAGAGATGACAAATAAAGGGAGAAAAAATGTTATAAAAAGATAGAGATATTATTGAAACTAGTGTTTGACACCATGCGTTGCGTGGTAACAATAATCTTTACTAAAATTATTAAAGTTAACTAAATGAGTCGATGATCACATTTATATATTAAACTAATAAGAATCAATATTACTTTTGATATATGAATCCACTTTATCATTATTAGTGACTTTTTGGAGAGAAAAAAAATCAACTGTTTTGAATATAACCTTTAATCTACCATCAAAAACATATTTGGGTGGAAATTTTCTTCTATAATTTTAATGTTACTAAGAAAGAAACTATATCAAATATCTTAACATTTTCATGTTGGTTTTCAATGTGTCCGAGTTCATCATCATACTTTGACTTATTTAAATATCAAGATATATGACATTGTGACTCAATTCGGCTTAATATACATCGTAAAAATGGTATTTTTGTTGAAAATACATATACACACAACTGTCCTCTCATGACGGCCGTTAATGTCTCTTTTGTGACCTAAAAATTCCAAAAATCATTTTAATCATCAAATATAATAAGAAATCGAATATGTCTCTTTTATTCCTTCTTTTTTTTAAACCATTTTTATATTATTACTAGTTTATGGAATCGAGACTAGAGCTTTGTTTGGTCAAATCTTACCCCCCACATTTGAACTATTTAACTTTTTTTAATAGATAATATTTTTTTTATTAACTTGGATATCCAATCCGTTACGTGAGCCGATTAATCTCAAGGTAACCACATGTTTTGCAGATAGTTCAGAGTCACCGCATTTGAACATTCGTAGTCATAAGGGGATTTTTATTCTTACTTGGATTTGAACATGTGACCTCCTGATACTTTTGACATTTGGAGTCAAACTCAAACCGATCAGACACCACTTTTATGGTTGATAATGCCTTTTGATACAACAACCCATAGATTTATCTTTAGAGAATGTCTAACCCAAAATATTAATATACACATAATTTAAAATTAATTCCTTTGCATTTAAAAGATTCAAAATTATTTTAAAACCCTACAATAAGTGTACAAACTTATTTGTTTAAGAAATATATTCTATGTGATGATTAAAAATGCATTATATGTTATATCAATATATATATATATATATATATATATATATCCTTATGACCTCCTCACTACCTATCTCCCTTCCCCCCATCCCCGTTATAATTGGTATCACAGTGGTCTCAAAGTTTCTTTGGTGCGTTTTGAGTATCACATTATATGCATTTTGGGTATCACGTTGTAAGTATTTTGCATATCACATTGTGTATCTTAGTATATTTTGAGTATCACATGTTGTTCGTCACAGGCTGGAGGTAGGGGAGAGAAAAAAATTAAAATACCCCTAAAATGCCCTTTAATTACAACTTTAAGTCAAATGACCAAAAATATTAATTTTCTAATTTATCCATTAATTTTTGGTTGAGATTGGGTCTCACGGTTATTACAAACTAATTAATTCTTCTTTAAATAGACCTATCTCTCTCTCTCTCTCTCTCTCTCTCTCTCTCTCTCTCTATATATATATATATATATATATATATATGAGCGATCAAATAAAAACCACTCAATTTGTAAAAACCATAAAAACATCATTCAACCAATCATAATTTTTCATTTTGTTCAATTTTTTGTAATTATGAGAGGTTGATTAATCATTTTTATTGTGGAGGGTGTTAATCATTGATATTATCATTTTCATTATTTTAATTTTAGAGAAATACATGAAACAGTTTCATTAAAATTTCATTAAGTAGTATATGAAAAAATTTCATAACCATATATGAAACAAATTCATCAAAAAAGTATTATATGAAACAATTTCACAAAATTAAACAATTTTGATGAAAAAATTTCATAAAATTAAACAATGAAATCGACGGATGAGGGTGGTTTGCACGGTCTTTACAAATTGGAGTGGTTTTCATTTGATCCCTCCTCTATATATATATACACACACCCACACATACCGCCTTAAACCACGCCTTGGAAAACATCACAACTCGCCATAATTCGTAAGGCTTGAGGTTTGACCTCACCGCCACACTACCTCTCACAATTTAGACCTTGATTAAAACAAATAGCAAATTAAAATTATAAAGGATAAGAGTAGATTAGTAATTTGTTTAATGTCATGACAAAATCTCACTCCAAATATGGGTGATGGCCAATGGGACCATAAGTTTTGTCCTATCTACACCAAACGCATCCAAAGTACACAAACATCAGCCAACCAAACACTCATTACCTGTTCAGCGATGATGGTGATGGTAATAATAACATTTTTCTATGCAAGAATCTTACCCATCAAGTGCTTCTCTCTCAAAACTGGTTCAAATTACCTGCCTTGGAACTTTGATACCCTACATACATGTATGCAATCAGACCACAAAACAGAAGCCAATGTTATTATCCGTTCTGTAACAGATTTATAAATAGACATGAGAAAAACAAAGTCCGTCCAGCCACCCAGCCAGCACTTGAATTAAACAAAACCACACATCAAAAGCAATACCAAGGCATCCTCATGATGTTTTTTCCAAAAACACTCAGCATCCTCCTTCCTATTTTCAATCAAAACAAAATAAACAAACTCATCTACTTGCTCAAGAAACAAGGTTCTCGTTAAGAGACAGGGAAGCAAGCTGTGTGGCAGGGGTGTTCGCTTGCTGCACATTCCTCAGCACCTCCATTGCCTCTGCAACCTTTGCCTTCAATGCATCTGGTGACTCCAGCAAGTGCAGCACCTCTGTCTGGTCCATCTCCAGAAGCATTCCCGTCACCTTAGCCGCATGCTCGTGCTCCAGCTGATCCACCAGCGGGTACAGATTCTCGCCCAGCATCTGTTGAAACAATAACAACTTCATAATTAATTACCTCACCAATGCTCGTGTAGAAAACAATTCATAGGGTGGGTTTGTGGTTTTTACCGTCCTCTGCTGATCAGGTGCTGCATTAGCGAGTGCAGAAGCCAATGCTGTAATAGGCATTGGCTGTTGTATATCTCCTCGTGGAAGCATGCCGCCCCCACCCATGTCGTAAGGCACCGGAAGCATTCCTCCACCACCTCCCATATTTCCATCTCCCACATTCCTACCAGGATAACGGTACATTCTTCCTCCTCTTGGAACCATCTGAACAACACACCAATCGGTCTTATGTCATATACAATCCTCCTCACACATCTAATAGCCAAACAAATAACCATTGGTGCATACCGGCTGCTGCATCATTGGAACAGGCTGCTGGTTTTGTTGCACAGGACCTGTTCCACGCCTCCCACCACCAAGACGTTGCCCTTGCTGACCTTGTTGGACAACCGGTACAAAGAAGTTCGGCATTGGTCCCCCACCTGGCCTCATTCCAGGGACCAGCTGCTGCTGGTAACCAAATCCAGCCTAAAACCAACCAAAAACATCAGAAAACTTGGATATAATTACACCCAATAAACAAACGAAACATCAATACAAAAAACTTCACAACATTCCAATTATCATCAATATATTCAGAAAAAGTAAAAGTACCTGAGGAGGAATCATAGCAGGAGGAGCTTGTCCATAGAATAGCTGCTGCCCCATACCTGGAGCACCAGGAGGATACATGGGCATACGAGGAGCCATTATTGACGGTGCCATTGCAACTGGCCTCATTTGTGAAAACTGTGCCTGAAGGTAAGAAAGCATTGAGTATTTAAAAGAACATTTCATCATAGATACAGGTACTTGCAATTTGCAATATGATTCTTTCATGATCAATGAATTAAGAAACTCATAGACCTAAGGAGCTACATGGCTACATAAACTCAGCTAACAGCAACACTGAACAAGCAACTACAAATGGTACAGTATCATATTGCCTTAAGAATACATTGAAACGCCCACTTTTTTGCATAACATTAAACATGAAATTACTGCATTTTATATTAAACATATATAGATTGTCCAAGACAAATTCGAACATAATAATCAATAATCCAATAATGGCAGATGTTAATAGCTTTATCACCTCACTAATCAGAAGTTGTCAAACCTTCTCAAAGCACAATCAACAATGGATGTTCACTTCATACAAACATGTATAATCTACAGCACCTACAGAGACATAGTGAACTTGGTGCCTAGGTGTTTGTATCTTCTCAAACATTCCAAGGTGAAAAGTATTCGCAGAATTCTCAAAGTAAACACATCACACATCATATAATTCACAGCTTCTGGAAAATAAAAATCATAAGAAAAAGTGCATGCATTTATTCTTTCCAGTTTTATGGAGAAAAGCCCATCATGGCATCTTCTGCAACTGATGGAGTTCATGAGAATTATTTTATTGGATTTATAAAGTTAAAAACTAGGCATTGCTAATTAAATATGAATAGGTGTAAACATGCACCAGAACATGTGCATTCAATTCACTGGTGTCAGCAATCTAAGAGATCAAATTAAACAAAAGGAGTGTTATATGTCTACATTCAATTACGGGACATTTTATCTCCTTTAATTATACTTGTGATAAAAATCAGCACAAACAGTAACAAATAGCTGAGCAGTACCACACCATTTCTCACTCCACTAAGTAACATAAGTGCAAATTTTTCTAAATGAAGCAAGGTGAGACATTTGCAAACGTTTTTACCTGCAACCTTGCTCTTCTCTCTTCCTTACGCTGTGCAAGTGCAACATAAAGTGGTTTGCTAACAATCATCTTCCCATTCATCTCGGAAAGCTGAAAATGTGAAAAGAAAACAAACTGTTAGTCCTCTGGAAGCAAACTATAAATATAGTCAACCATGTCTCTTACAGCTCGAGAAGCCTCTTCAGAAGACGAAAAGGCAACAAAACCAGAACCTCTACTGATTCCGCTAGGATCACGCATAACCTATTAACAGAAATCTAAAGTTAGATCTTCGCACATAAAGAAGCCAAATCAAAACAAAAAATGAGATGAAAGATGAAGAAAATAGAAGTCAGATATGTTACTTCTATGAAAACTGCATGATATTATTTTTGGCATGCCTCAAGGAATTAGTGAGTACACATAATATTTTGTTGCAACTTTATTTGTAAATATGTCCATTAAGTTTGGTATAACCTTTTCATTTTATAACAAAAATTATTCTATCAATGATTCCCACAAATGAACTTTAACTCTAGGACCAAAAAGTTCCTTAATTGCATGCCAAAATTAATTGTTTTAATTCTAATTGCAATAGCTTTTACAATAGTTCAAATTGGAAGCAAACCTTGCATGAAGTGATTGTACCATACTCAGAAAAAAGCTCCTTAAGCTTATCATCATCGATGGTGTCATCCAAGTTCTTGACATACAAATTAACACCTTGAAACTTATCAACAGCTTCCTTTGCAGTCTGCTCAAAGCGACTCTTCAGTTCAAGCTCTCTTTCCGATTTCTTCTGAGCCTTCCCAACATACCACTCCTTTTCATCGAATTTCTTCCCATTTAAAGCCTCAACAGCATTAGCCGCATCATCTGCATTCTCAAAGTTGACGAATCCAAAGCACTTGGATTTCCCATCTCCATCTCTCATAACGACAGCACTTGTGATTGTTCCATATTCACCAAAGGTCTTTTTCAGATCTTCATCAGTAGTGGACTCAGAGAGATTTTTCACATACACATTATTGAACTTTGTCCTGCTCAATGAGGAGTCCCGTTCTTGCTTGCGAAGAAAATGACCAACATAGACTTGTTTGTCGTTCATCAGCATACCATTTAGTTTATCAATTGCATTTTGAGCAGCTTCTTCAGTGTCAAACTGCACAAAGCCATAGCCCTTTGACTGGCCTGTAGCATCGGTCGCTATCTTGCAGGAGAGAATATTACCAAAGCTAGAAAATGTGTCATGCAAGGCTTTGTTGTCTATTGTCTTATCCAAGTTCTGCACACAAAGAAGAAAAGAATAAAAGCAATTATAATAAACTCAAATACAAAAACAAAATACACATAATAGGAATCTCAAATAAAAGATCAAACAATCCTCAACCTTAATCCCCAAACAACAAATCACAGAATTCACAGTCCATTCTCTTCACTTTGTAGAACATGAGATAGTGGAAGATTATCTATGTTAAAAAGAAAAAGAGGTGTGAAAGACAACACTTCCGCATCATATAGCTTCACTCGAACACCATGAATATCATTTGTCAGCCTAAAACAATGAATAAGACAGACAGATGCACATTGTGGGGAGTCAAGTAATGACACCAGACACAGATCACAAACATAGACACGACAAATGGCTAACACGCCCTACATTTCATGCCACTTTTAACATGCCATGCGTTCCATTGTCACACAAGCTAAACTCATCAGAACACTTTTTAGACAAAAAGCAAGTACGACTCGGGCACAAGATTCCAGCTATGTAGGAAATGATGCCACAAAGACAACAATATGAAGAAACAAACATTCGTAGAGAGAGCATGTACACATTTGGAAATACAGTAATTAAGAATTAATCAGCAGCGACAAGGAGGAAGCGTCAAAAAATGGTTGAGAAGACCATGACCCATTATTTCGTTCTGGAAAGGTATATTAGCTCTGACTGGAGAAGATAATGGCATTTTAGATGCATCCGTTACCAATAGAAACCATGGAAATACAATCCAACACGGACACCAAAGAAATCAGCTCTAAATATAAATGACTGGTTAATAGGTCAAAGCTACCAACAACAAAAAAAGCCCATTTAATTGATTGCTAGAATATAATTAATCGACGGCATCAAAACACATTTACTGCAACAATAAAGAAAGTAGAGTGAATAAATCTCATTTCTGGCTGCTATAGTTATGTTTTAGTATAACTGAATCAATGAAATCAAAACACCAACAAGGCAACAACCCAATAGGCCAATACACCACGAAACACAACAAAAATAGTAAAAAAAGATTGAACCACAGCACAAATGTATTTCAAGCTACTTTGCTGCATATATGAGGGCCTTAATAAGAGAGCATAAAGAAAAATAATTAGTAATATACCTTAATAAATATATTTGCAGTTCCACTTTTACGGATGCTTGGGTCCCTATGAGAATACATTATACGAATTGCCTTTCCATTTACAGCAGTAAAGTTCAGTACATCAATGGCCCTTGCAGCTGCAATACAAGTTGAAGTAAAACATCAGTAGCCGACAACAGGATCATGTACTACAAAATGGTCCAGAACAACCAGATGCAACAGTTGAAATAATAGCCACCACTCACAGGATGATATGCAAGAAAATATAAGAACCTCAAAATTCACTTACCAAAGATATAAACAAAGCATATATACACTTCCATCACTAGCACACACATAAAGGTTACTGATAGAAAAACCAACAATAAAATGGAAGTAAAATGAACAATAAAAATGCATCAAGAAAGACAAATATAATATACATTACTCGACGAAAGGTTTCGATTAAGCTAATATATGAAGCAAGAAAGGCATGAATGCTTTCAATTCCTCAACACAACATTAGATTTAATTCCACAACCTGCATTTGAATTCATTTTTCACTCGAGGACTGATCCATAACATGCCTCCGAAAACAGAGCTTATGGACAAGCAATCATATTTACATATGAATACCAACCACGAATGATCTACATTAACTGTCCATCTGATAATGATATGTATCCCCTTCATCTTACAGGTGATTAATAGCACACTATATCTAATAGCATGTCATTTGAAGGAGCAGCAGTTTTGAGTGCCATATTTGGGATTGAAGCTCATTCAGTCTAAACAATCCCCAGCAACTTTTTTTAACAGTCTTTAACCAGAGTGAAAAGGTTGAAAATCTCCTATAAGTCCTCAGATATCAATTGTATATACAGTTCAAAATATCTGACACCAAAAAGGAAAACATAGAGATGTAGTCAAGTTTCAACAATTGAGCTCCACTCAAACAATGAACAATACACCACTAACCAAGCTAAACCAGTACATCCTTGATCCCACCACATCCCACCACACGAGAGTGGGGTCAGGGATTTAAGCAGACGTGTCCTCTACCCCGGAGAGAAGAGGAAAATGCACCACTGTTTACAGGTAATAGTCAACAGATTCCAGCTTTCTATCTCATACGCCAATCGTAAAGATAATGATTTGTCCCAATTTTGTACTGTGCAATAAATCAAAATCCATAGACCATGGTGAATTGAATATAATGCTAACAACGAATACATAAAAAACTACAGTAATCAACAACAATACAAACAAAATGTACCAATCTGAACAGGAAAAAAAAGGAAATTCACAAATGCACCAATCTCAATAGAAGAAACAAAAAATTCACAAATGCAGTTACAGACTGACCATCATTAGGGTTGCTGTAGTTAACGTAACCATAACCAAGGGATCGCCGGGTGCTCAAATCCCTACAAACCCTTACAGACACAACCTGTCCAACTTGGTTAAACAGATCGTACAGCTGTGAATCGGTAACATTAAGCTCAAGGTCCCCAACATAAAGCGACGTCGTCACAAACGACTGATTACCACCAGCCACCGCCGCTGCCGCTGCCGCAGCAGCGCCCGCAGCAGCCGTAGCAGCAACGCCACTAGCATTAGCCGTGGCCGCCACACCATTCGGTCCAGATACCGTAGGAGGTTGAACCTGAATCTGCGCCATTTTTTCTCTTTTCTTTCTCTTTATTTGATAATTAAATTAACCGAATCAAACCCTAACAACTCAACCACACTCTGAATTCAAACCTTTTAGGGATTTTTCCGAAAAATGGCAAAAAAAGGATAGTATCGCCGGAGATCCGTTAACGGAGATATGCGTCGACGACGATGAATAGATAAATCTAGAGATCAAAACAGTATAGAGAGAGATTGTTTCTTTTTTTGGAGGGCAGACAAAACTGCACTGCACTGCCGATGAGGTGGTTGAATCTTATATATACGAATGAGAAAACCCTAGTTTAAGCGTGTAGGGCTGGGATGATCACCACCATTGATTTCGATCTTAATGACGATCCGGTTACGTCTAGATCTTAGATGGCATAACGTGAACGGTTGAGATTACGAGGATGCCGTGATCCAGTGTTTCGCGTGTCACAATATTGTGTTACGATCTGGGCTGTTTTGGGTAGAAGATTTGGTTAAGGCCTGGTCTTTCCATTTTTATATCTCTATCCAAAACTCGGTCCGGAAACCAATCAAAATTTATCAATAAATAATATTTATCTGATAAAAAATAATTTTATTAATTAATAATTATTATATTAATTGTTTTTTTTTAATTAACCTTAATTATTTCCATTTTTATAACTTGTTATAGTTTATCTGTCTCTAATAAATTTCGGTACGTGTTTTTCGAATTTTACGTTAGAGCTTCTCCTATAACTCGTTTCATCCTTTTGATAATGTACGGAAGCAAAATAAGAATGTAATTTTTACATTGAATTCACGTCATCTGACATTTTACATATAGGGGTGTGTGCGTCGAGCAGTTCAGATAAGCAAACCATAAATCCGAACAGATTTCAGATATGGAAACAATTTTTGGTTTCGGTTTTGTGTTGGGGCCGGTCGGGTTTTCAGGTATATTTATATGTAAAAAATATATATTCGATTAATTTTGATGATGTATTCAATCAATTAAGAGTACTGATGAAATTGATAGTAAGTTTAGAAATTATAAAAGAACATGGTCGACCATGGTTTATGATTTTTGAAAGACTAGTTGTGTACATGCGCAATGCGGCGGGAGCCATGAATTTTAACGATTTTAAAGTTCCACTGGTTTTATAAGATAAGATTTAACGATGATATATGTTACACTTGGTCTTTACATATTAATAGAATTTGAATAAATAAGAGTTATGGTTCCAATTACAGACTATCAATGAAAAATATTGTATGACAGTTTAAACTCCAATATATTTAAAATCCAACATGTTTAAACGACTCCACAAATGTGTTCGATTTACACCAAGAGCAAAAAACCAAGAAACTTGAAACATTCAAAACCAATAAAAAAAACTACAAATTTGACAGATTATAAGCCATGAAAAGACCAAAAAAGATGGGTTTTAGAATGAAATTTTAACTGCTTACTCTCTTTCTTGTCCAGAAACTCATATTAAGGTTGAATTAATACATGTATATATATATATTTCAAAAAAACCCAAGAACATATTAATTTAGAACATATTAATTTAGAACATATTATACAGTGCAATTTGGACAGCCTAACCCCAAAATATACAGTATATATATAAATAAATAACTATAAAAGTATAAATCGTAAATATTAAAAATATTTTTTCACAGTATATATAATATATAATAATATAATTAAGTCAAAAACTATTCAATATTGGACTCATTTCGAAGGGATTAACGAGACGATTATAATGGTGTAACTTTTTAAAATAAAAATGTATTTTTTAAACATGTTTTAATTGATATACGATTATGTATGTTAATTTGATAAAGGTTTAAAATGAAACATTAAAAAGTAAATGACGTAAAATAAATAAATTAACTAATTATAAGAGTATAAAGTGTAAATTTTAAATTATAATTTAAAAAAAAAAATCGGTTGTGAGAGGATGAGTGTATGTGAGAAAATGAGAAGATGAAAAAGTGAAAAAGTAGTATCAAGGGTATCTTGATCATTTAGTATTTTAAGACTTTTACTAAATTTGATTAATAAGATAGTATAGATAATTAGATAAATAAATATATTTATATAATATTTAAAAGTTATATATATATATAGAGTGTGGTTCAAATACTAACCCAATATTTTGTGCAAACTTTGCTAACCCACATCAACCAATAATGTTGCATCTTT